TGACCGCAAAAGGAAGGTGTAAAGCAACAGCCATTCATACAGTTAATGACCTGAGTAATTCAAGTCCGGTGCAGAAACGAAGGATTGCACGGGCTCACCCGGTGCGTTCCAGCCTGGGTTTGAAAATGATCCAGCTGTTCAGCCGGAAATTTTCCAGCTAAAAATTTGAAATTTAAATACAAGAATCGCGCATGCCTGGAAGCAGAATTTGAAAACTTTAAGTTGTATTCGGGCGAGAAATATTCTCCTGAAATTTCAACTTTCCAGCTTTCTGGTTTCCGAGTTATCAATTTTTCAGCCAAAACTTTCACAGGGCTATACGTGACTTGAAGGCGCACCTGAAGACTGGGTTTGAAATCTTTAAGTTGTACGTGGACTGAGAACACACCGAACTCACCTTTGAAATTTCAGCCTCCCAGCTCTCCTGGTTCTCGAGCCAGCCGTTTTCCCAAAAAATTCCACGGGGCCATACGTGAGAACTGCACAGGCTTGGGGGCTGCATTTGCAAGCTTTGAGTTGTGCGTGGACGGGAAATATCCCCTCAAAATTTTGGTGTCCTACCTTCCTTGGTCCTTGAATTGGCCATTTTCCAGCCAAAAAACTCCATAGGCCATACGTGCGAGCCACGCATGCCTGGAGGCTGAACTTGCTAAATTTAAGTTGTATGTGGGCGGAGAACATTCCCTTAAAATTTCAGCCTTCTGGCTTCCCTGATTTCCAAGGCAACAATTTTCGCGCCAAGAACCGTCACGAAGCCGTACGTGGGAACCACGCACCTGGAGGCTGAATTTGAAATCTTTGAGCTATATGTGGACGTGGAAAAGAATCTCAGAATTTCAGCTTTCTAGCTTTTCTCGTTCCCGAATCAGCAATTTTCCGCCAAAACTTTCGCCCTCTCGTACAAGGGGCCCAGACTTGCATGAGAGTTGAAACTACGGCCTTGGGTTGGCAATTGGCCAGGGAACCCACTAGAAAAATTTTGGCGCTGGAGCATGCTTGGTTGTCGGGTTGAAATATCCGGATAGACGAACACACACACACACACACACACACAAACACAAACACACACACAGGGTGATTGCAATATGCGTTTTGGCAATTTGCTTATAGGCAAAAACGCACAAAAATGAGGGTAATGAATATTATCAACGGAAAATTTTAAGAAGTGTAAATAACTCGTTGACCAGGCACGGCTCTTTCGAAACAGCGCTACCGTTATGCAGTAGGTCAAGGATTCGATTCCATCAGCAGGACCCTCTATGATTCGTACATCTTGCTAATTTGATGCCGGCATTTGCCATTTAGCCAAACCCGCCATTAACTTGCTCCTAAGAAACCAAAAGAGAGTGTTATCGGCAGTTTTGCCAGTGCATATTTGTTGCTCTTGGCATTTTCAACACTCATGCTATGCAGGAAGTGTTGCCTTATTATGCAAGTTGATCCAAATCAGGATTGTCTCATATTCTTTGCAGCGGTGAAACGGCTGAAAATAAACTGCGCTGCAGGTGCTACTAAAATAATGCTGCACATTGCAGTTGTATCGAAAATCACGGTCTGTTTGCCACACTGATGACTGCTTTGGAACGCCTAGATCATCGGGAGAGGCAATCGAAGCCAGATTTTATGACAACATCGACGAGTCAATTAGGCTCGATCGGCTCAGTGTAAACGTTCGTGTTCGTTCATTATATAAAACTATCAGAGCATGCACTGCAAAAGTTTAGTGATAGCGCAACGTGCTAATGTTGTCAGAAAGTTAGAGTAGAAAATTTTATTTCGTTTCTTACGAACAACAAAACGGCGTGGCGCGTTGGAGCAACAATGTTGCCGCGCATTTGGTCTGATTTCGCCGGTGAGACAACTAATCCATCTGCGGATTTGTTCATGCGTTCTGGTGGTAAATTGCTACGGGCATATGTCAGACAGTCAAACTCCACCATCAATTGCCTTCTAAGCAAATCGCGAAAGAAAGAGCCATCGACAGCCTTGCTAGTAAATAGTTACGGCTGGCATTTGCTGCATTCTGATTATTTCCGAAATGTTTTCGCATTTCTTGAAAGCAAGTACAGAGCGAGTTTTGCAATATGCAACAAGCCTTTTAACGCTGAATTCAAATTGAACAACATAGGAGCCATTAACACCTTCCCAGCTTTCAATGGGATTCTTCGTGGCCATCGAGATGCAGCTATTTTCCTTTATTCCAGACGCCTTTTGTTATATCCAAAGCCTAAGCACACGGGTGTGCCCGGAAGATCTTTTTCTATCTCGAAAAAAGTCAGTATGCGTCGTCTTTTGTTTTTTAACAACGAGAGCATTGTGTCTTACTATCTGCACACATTTTTCTTGGGATTACGATGATTGTGTGTTGCAGAGTTCTTGTAGGAATTTGATGGAGAGTCACCAAAGCTTTTCTGATTCGCTTCTTCGTCGGCATCTTACACATTTCCTTCGCTTTTCGTCGCAAGGGCAGGCGAAATCAACATGATGACCTCACACGTATTTAATCATCAAGTGACTGCTATAGCCTAACGCAAAAAATGCTTATCTTTGCAAATTCCCTATCTCTAGATGGATTCGCAGGAATCCCTTGCATGTATTTTTAAATGTAAACTAATTAACAGAAACAGCAGAACACTGAAAGACAATCGGACGATGGTTCATGGGTCGATGCCGGAAATGCTAATGACGAACAGGTATCATCCCCGGACGAGTATAATCACTTAGTTATAATATTTATCAAACTTGGAACTGAAACTTTTCGATTAGATGAGACGTACAGAAGTAGAAATACATTTTATAGAAATATAGAAATACATTTTAGAATAGAAATACATTTCAGATGAGAAATACATCTTTGTTGCTGGACTGATAT